CCCTCTGCAGTGGGTGATGTCAGGGAGGTGGCAAGTGCTCCTGTGTGACCCTCTGCAGTGGGTGATGTCAGGGAGGTGGCTGGTGGTCCTATGTGTCCCTCTGCATTTGTGATGTCAGAAAGGTTGCATCATACTCCTGTCTGGCCTTCTGCAGAGAGACTTTAGGTGGCTGTGCCTGGGGGGTAGGAGCCGTGCTTCTTGAGCTAAGAATCGGGATGACCATAGGCCAGTGGTCCTGAATAGATGGCTGATTTCCCAGTGTGTGTGGGTGTGGAGAGCTCTGTCTCTTAATTCATTTGTTCATTCATTACTGAGTGAATGTGTTTACTGAGGGCTGACTGCATGCCTGGACTGCATTCTGCCTGGGACCGGGGACACAATCTTGAATAAAAACAGATACGTCCCTGCCCTTGTGGAGCCTGTAGATCTGGAGCGGAGACTCACCCTGATGGTACAGCTGGACGTCAGTTGAACTGCGAGTGCTTTGAATGCAAAGCCGCCCGTGCTGGGGGCTGTGGTAGTGAGATTCCGCCTCATTGGAGAGATCAAGGAAGGCTAAGGATGCTGCACTCCAGTGGGTCTGGAAACCTACTAGGAACGGACCAAGCAGATGGTGGAGGGAAGGTTCCGGCAGAAGGAACAGCCCGGGCAAAGGCCAGGCCGACATGTTTCTTGTGGAAGGAGGCCGTGACATCACAGAATCCACCTGACCTGGTAACCACAGGGCTCTCTCCTTCCTCGGAGGCTCTGCCAGGGGCAGCCAAGGTCTGCCAGGTTGTCCACGTTTTGCACTTTAAAAAAATGCATGGCTTGTGCTTTGTCCTTCTGATCCATGGGGTTCCTGTCTTTGTCCCAGAAATGACTCTGTTCCTTAAAAGCGACATGGCTGCCTGATTGTAACTGGATGGCGGGAAGGGGTTCCACGTGGCCAGTGCAGATGTTCCCCGCGTCAGTTTCCAGCTGTGATTAGAGGCCGTCGGAGGGGCTGCAGGTGAGATGCTAGTCAGCTCCGTAGAGCCCAGATCTGTCCTGTTACTGGGAGCCGTGTCCCGCCTCTTCTTGTGTCCACGGATCTCCCATCCTTCAGCAGTAGAGATGCTCCCACATTCTTTCGTAACCCCCGTGATGGTGTCTGACATGTGTCCTCCTCTGATTCCCCTAACAAAGCCCCTTGGTCACATTCAGGCCTCTCACCCCTCCTACTGGCCTCTGTGCGTGTGTGTGTGTACAGCTATGTGCAAAGCGTGACTGTTTGACCTGGCTTGGAACACGCCTCACAGATGACTTGGAGGCCCTCTAAAGGTTTAGGCCAAGAAGAAAGTCAGCTGTTTATATCTTGAATGAAGACACTTACAACCCTGCCCTTTGCGGAGCCTGCCGGTCTGGAGTGGAGACTCGCCCCAGTCATGCAGACGGGTGTAAGTTGTGACTGTGAGTGCTTTGAAGGCACAACCGTGGTGCCTCACCTCAAAAGCTTCCAGGCAGTAGGTTTTTGGTTTTGTTTTTGTCTTTTGTATAGTTTGAATTTCATTATGAACCTTAATTTTTTGCTTTAGCCCCTAGAAAACTGCTGAATTTGCAACTACCGGCCACGTGCGTGGCTCACACCTGTAATCCCAGCACTTTGGGAGGCTGAGGTGTGTGGATCACCTGAGGTCAGGAGTTCAAGACCAGCCTGGCCAATGTGGTGAAACCACATCTCTACTAAAAATACAAAAGTTAGCCAAGTGTGGTGGCTCATGCCTGTAATCCCAGCTACTCCGGAGGCTGGGGCAGGAGAATCACTTGAACCTGGGAGGCGGAAGTTGCAGTGAGCTGAGATCACAGCATTGCACTCCAGCCTGCGTGCCAAGAGCGAAATTCCGTCTCAAAAAAAAGAATGAGCCGCTACCTTTGGCAGTTCCGCAAAGCTTAGCATCTGATGCCTGACCTTGACCTGGCCTTCATACTCTCTTCTTCCTTGTCTTTGCTTCAGGGCGATCGTTTCATCTGTATTGGATTATATCACGCATTTTTAAAGCCTCCTCAAATCCCATTTGGAGTAAAGGGGT